TAGACTTGAAAATGAATCGAATCTCCATACTTAAAGATTAATTGAATGTAAAAATCAAACGGACTTTAACAATGGTTGTAATGGGGCTTAGGTAAGGGTGAAATAAAAGGGAATTTAGCGACTCAAAGTCAAGATTACAAAGATGATGATAAGTTGTATGATAATCACATAAGACAATTAACTACTATTAATTTGAATTATCTGCCCCCATCTTCGAATACTAACGATCTTGGAAAAGTAGCATCAGTTAATTGCTTTGTGAAAAATATTTCTCCAAATGTCTTCTCTTTATTACTGAACGAAGTGTTTCTTTTCCTGACAACACCACTTTTCTTCTTTTATTTTATTTTTTCCCTTTTCATCAATTTTTTTTTAGTAGTACACAACTTGCATAATAACTTGAAAGAACGATTATGATACCATGCAACGGTTTGACATTTATCTTGACAATGGTAGAAATAACAAGGATAATGAATGAGAAAAAGGCCTTAAGTTTAAATATGGTGTGCAAAACAAGAAGAAATGAGAAATTAAGCTCAAAGGTGGCTTTCTAATGGAAGATGTAAAAATGTTGGCTTTTTAGAAGTCTCAAATTAGGGTAAGTCTAAATTCTCCTTGTCATATTAAATCATCAATCCAAATAAGCGGTCACAAAATGCATTCATAGGCAACTTCTAGAATAATCATGCAATGTTCGATCACACACAAGAATGAAAATAAATTGAGCAAATATAACGGGTTGCTCATAGGCTCAAACAACTCACTTTGCTGTGTAAACTGTATCAAGTCAAATGCATTTTTCAACCAAGAAATCAATGAGATACAATTATGTAATTTATAAAAGAAAATCAATCATGCTTATCTCCTTCATGCATAAGAAATCAAATCCAAGATGCATTCATAACTTACAAAGTATTCAAGGGTATCAATCAAGATTCAAAGTTTCAAAATGAGAAATCAGCACATGAATCATGATACATACTAAGTCAAAAGCATGAAAAAGATGACAAAAATCTTCACCCCCAAACTTAACAATTACATTAAAAGATAGAAATAGCACAACAAACATGCAACATAACATCCATCAAGATAATAAACTGTCCCTAATGAAGACAAAATACAACAAATCCCCCCAAACTTAAAAATTACATTGTCCTCAATGTAACAAAAATATATGTATGTAGTAGACAACGAGGACAAAGAAAATGAAAAGGGGAAAGAACAATACTGCCCTGAATTTAATATCAATATTACACAGCACCAAGACGTGTAGATACACCGCCAAAATCTACATTAAGCCTATATGAAACACAAAAGGTAATGAGAAAAATAAATCTAAAGAAATTAAGATAACATAAAAACAAAAACAAACTAAAAAAAACTTTGGATTGGATCCCAAAAATCTCTTTATTTAACGTCTGTAGCTAGACGCGACTCTTTTTTATTTTATTTTTCTTAAGGTGTATAAAACTCCTCAATTTTCTTCAGACCCTTCTTTCTTGAATCGATGTATCCTACTAGCTTTAGTAGGCTCATTTTCTTTTCATGGGCACCTGAAAGAGAGAAAATTTTATAATATAAATTAGGAAAGTTAAAGAAAAATAAATCAAAATTATATTTACAAGGCTCATAAGGATACAGAAAGAAAAGATGATAATTAAGAAAGTTTTCAAAAGATAAAATAGGATTAGGCTTTTTTTTTTTTTACATAATTCCTGATACAATCTCGTATTTTTTGATCTTCTTGTAAACCTTCGGAATATTTTTTGGGGTGTGCAAACCAAATAGAATGATGCCTTTGGGTTGCACCAAGTCTAAAACCGAGTGGATTTATTTTTTGTCCCATAATCCCCCATTATTATACATGTCATAACACGTAATATCTGTGTACTTTTCTTTAGTTATACATCCAGGTTTGTTTAAGCCTAATATGTTGTATTGGTATCTTTTAAACTCTTCTTCATTGAAAGATATATTTTGCTTTTCAGCCTTTTCCTTGGTCACTTGAATTTCCTCTTCCAAATCAGACTCATGTTTTTTCTTTATCTCACAAAACTGTACTTCTTGGTGTTCCTCAAATTTTTCCGACTCAATCCCATTATCAATGCAAATAGCTTCACAGGTTTATGTCTGCTCAAAGTTCTCCAACTCATCCTCACTATCAACGCATACAACTTTACAAGTTTCTGCCTCTGTGGTATGGAAAAAATTTTGCTCACGGGGGCTTTAAATGAATCAACTATCTGGCTAAGTTGTATTTTCAAACGCTCTATAGCAGCTCCATTTTCTTCAATTGTGGCTTCCATCCTATCCACTTTGGCCTCTATCCTATTCATCCTTTTTTATTATTTTGCACAAAGATTTTTAATTCTACATTCCAAAGTATATTCTTGCAATAAATCTTCAAGGGATGAATTTTCCTCCCTCTGATTGGGATAATTTTGGCTCCGAGTACCTTCATTGTCACCATATAAAGAATTTCCATATCTCATATAATAAGAATGATAATAATTATTCATTCGACTTTCCTGAAAACACCCATAATTAACATAAGAATTGACATGGTCATAAGATGGGTAAATTGAAGAATAAGAATTAAATGATGGTGGTGGCCCTTGGGTGGTCGAAGACTCCTCATAAGGCCACTCGTAATTATAAAAAGACATGATTCACATAAAGGCTTATATTCAAGCAAAAACCACGAAAACAATACACAAAAACTAAAATTAAAAAAATCAAGATAAAGGAAAAAAAATCAAGATACAAAAAATATATACAGAAGAAAAAAAAAACTCTAAATTAAGACCAAGCAAGTTTTCCACGATATCAAGTGAAACTAAATATTTGTCAAACCCTGACAATGGCGCCAAGTTTTAATATAGATTGTAAGTGAATACCGATATCGTCCTCTGGATTAGGTTTCTAGATCACTCAAGTATCACAGGTACAATCGCTCAATTTTATTTAGAGAATAAAAAACAAATAAGAGAATATAATCAAAGCAAATAAACATGCAATGACAAACATAAAAGCAATGGGGAGAAAGGTTCTAGGGAATTGATTTCACCTATTGAATCTATGAACGAATTAATCAATTACTCAAGTATATATTCTATAGGCCGAGAACTCTCAAATCTCAACTTCCTCTCCCGACCGCAAGCTAATTTTCCTTACCAATTATAAAATCAATATCCCTATCTAGTTTCTATAACAAGGTAAAGGCGTTATTGAGAAAGTCTTTTCACGGCCTCTAAATGACTTCTAAATCTCCTGATCTTAAAACCCATTTAGTTATGCATCCCAGTTCTAACTCTAAATCACCTCTCCCAAGCGTAAGATTTCAAGTCTAAAATCAATCAATCTATGGCTAGTAGATTCAAGACATTAAGCATAGAGAAACATAAATAGAACATTCATAAACATTCAATAAATAAAACTAAACAATCAATGTATAAAGTTCAATGACTACATCAATCCATAAGATAAGAGGTTTAGCTTCTCATATTCAATGTAAAACAATAAAATAACAATGAGAAGTCCATAACAAAACTAGAAAAATCAAGGGAAATGAGAAAAAACTATGTTCCGCGTATCAATCGTTCGTTCCCGAAGTGAGCTCCACGATCCCAAGCCTTGAAAATCACTTTTCAAAGCTCTCCAATGGTCTCCTTGCCCTCTAAATTGGCCAAAAAAGGCAAACTGCCAAACAAACTTCTCTCAAACTCCCCCATCTCGGCGGCTGCACAACCCTGTTTTTACAAAAAATTGTCGCGGCAACGCCATGGCGCTACACACAAGGCCATGACGCTACACCATTAAAAAAAACGCAAAATTTAAACTTCAGAGCACCGCGACGCTCTAGGCCATTGTCGTGGTGCTATCTTCTAGGGTTTTTGCTTCAAATCTTGTTGATATTCCATCTTGGTCACTTTGATTCCTATTTTCCTCTCATTTTATCCAAATATGTCTCGTTTCTTCCTAATGCTTTATTCTTGCAAAATATATCTTATGTGCTTAAAGTTGTCACGAAGAAACGAAACTAACAAATAATTTTAATATAAATCTCATGAAATGCAGCTCACAAAGTGTGCTATCAGTGAAAAGTACACATGACCCTCATTAATAATCATGAAGTTTCAGTACCTCGGTTCCATGTATGTGGTCGAACCAACGTTTTGCGTGGCCAAGCCGACCAAGCTTCTTCAAGGCTCATTCTCGTATATTAAGATAAACTACCTAGCTTCTCCTCGACTTAGTCTCAGACTCCGATAGAATCCACAACAACACGTCGTGATTTACGATAACCTTAAAGAGCCGTTGAGACGCTGTCAGGAAGATTGTTGGGAAAATCGCCTATAAATAGACCAATTCACTCCATTTTCAAGGTACGCGAAAACTAAATTCTCTCTCAAGTTTAGTTTGGCCAGCTACTGACTTTAGCATCGATGTGTCTTCTGTTTTGCAGGTGACCCTTCCAGCTCATCCTTCGAGTAGTCTTCAGTACGAGTCGAGCTCTACAGAAAGACGAGGGGGAATGCCAACCCCCTGTGTCGACCTACGAGAGGCATCTGCATCGGGACGCCGCCACTACATCCACAACTGAGTATGGAGACCCTCTCTGTAACGCCCCCAAATTTCTAACAACTGAAGATGAGGCACGTTACTAAAATCACCTAAAAAGACTCACTCGTACTAGACAATTAAACCACTAGAAATACAAACTATTACAAATTCTCACCACGCTTCCACTGCACTACTCTAATTAGTAACACTTACAAAAGCTTGAACTAAACAAACCAGACAACACTATAATTCTAACGAAACTCGAATTCTTCACAGTTAATAATTTAATAACAATCCAACCTTATAAACTTCTCAATGAAATATTCCCTAATCATAAACCACCCACTACACGAATCTAACTTTCTGAATTACCAGCAAAGCAAAAGCTAACTCAAGTTCACATTGAACAAATGTATTATGTTGATAAATATCCTCAATAGATTACATCACCACAGTTCAATAAGCTAAACAAATTAATGTTCTCAAAAGAATAACGAACTGTCAATCCTAAAACATCCTTTAAATATGGAACTTAACAACCCAATTTATTAATCTAATAACATACTCAAGTTGCAATAAACAACTATAACTATCCAATCCAAATTGAAACTTAACAACGCAGCGTTAAATGGTCTCTCTATTCAAGTCTTCTCCTCGCCATCACCATTCCAGTAGTTAACTCGTTACCTACAAAACTGGGGGAAAAAGAGGGGTGAGTACAACCACGGTACCCAGTAAGCAGCCGTTATCTAAAAGGTCATGCACAAACAGCATGCTTCAATCAACACATCATGCTTATCAAAGAATCAGCACGTCATGCTTATCATAAACTTCGAGCCTTAAAAGAAAAGAAACATAGTAAAAGAAGCAGTTTATGCATAACTTTAACTAAACATGCACCATACATGTCAAACTCATCCTCAGATCTCAAGTCACTAGTTCTCTTTCCTGATTCCTCCAAGACTTATTCCTTCGAGTTAAATCAACCCCTGACCTCACATAGCCAAGGCATCAATACTTCTCTACGGTGCTCAGCTTTGGACCTTGACATTTATCCCCAAGGTTTCAACTACTTCTCAACATATTGGTCCTTGGCCTCCAAGCTACTTTTAACCCATCACACTATGTTAGTCCTCCAAGTCCAACTCCTCGAATCGTATCGGTCTTTGTCATTTATCTCTAAGGCCTCGACACTCATCTACAGAAGCTTGGCATTCGACCTTGCCATTTATTCCCAAGGCCTTGAACTGTGCATCGACCCTTGAAATTTATCCCCAAGGTATCGACGACTACTCAACGTATTGGTCCTTAACCGCCACCATATAAACACCCTATACTAATTCAACAATTAGAATCATCGTGCCAACCCTCGACCTTTGTACCCAGAGCCTCGACACTCATCTCTACCAAGTTGGGGTATCGAACCCCGACCTTTGTACCTGGAGCCTCGATACCCAACTAGTGACGTGCCAGCCCTCTAGCCCTGTTACTCATCCACACACTTCATTAAATCCTGAAACTCTCACCAGAGTCCTACATGATTCTGAGGCATAACCCATGCAGAAATTATCTCACAACAATACACATGCATTATACACGAAACATATGCAACTATCATCCAGACATGGCCATCCAACGTTATAAGAACACCTTTCTCTCGACATTCAGCATGCTTTACACACCACAGCGTATATCATTCACAAAAGAGACGTTGCTAACATATATCCAGAAACGCATCCAATACTCTAAGAAGTTTCATAGTAAATAGAACACAACCAATATGTATAAAGTAGTACCAACCGCAAGCAATCAAGCAACAACACTCATAAGCACACAAACAAACATTCTGTTCATAGCAACACACAACAATCAATCCCCTCAGTAAGAAACTACTTACAAACAAAGTCCCAAAGCGCTACTAAACTTGTCGAAGGGTTCCTAAATCCAAAAGCAACCAAACTTTATTAGAGTTCATGTTAGAAACACTTAATTTGCATCGAAACAAAGTTTAGGTGATCCGTTACCTACTAACTCATGTCGAAACACTTGGGTCATCGTTGGGTCACTTAAGAAGTGTTTCGACACTGCTTAAACAACGTCGATGAGGTTCAGGCTTGCTTATCCAACGTCGGGATAGGGTGGGTAGCAATGACCAAGCTCATAATGGGTGTGGGTAAGCGCCGAATATAACCAAAATGCAAAAAATGCCACAAAAACGCTGTTGTTCGTGAAATTGATGTCGAAACGCTCCTGATCGCCGCCTCTATAGAGTTAGGGTGTAAGGCATCGAGTTCCAATAGACTGCTACAGATCTGAATCGACGTAGCTGTCAAAAGAGCACCAAATCAAAAAGTAGAAACACGAAGCTGCTGCTGCACACATTCTATGCTTGGGCCGCCGCAAAACCGACGCAATGACACCGGAGAAGAAGACGCTACTGATCAAACTGCCGCTGTTCGCAGGTTCGAGTCGCTCCACCGTGGGTTCGTA